CCAAGTCAAGGGTTAAAATCCCCTTACCGGTCATCTTTAAAAAAAAAAAAAAAAAAAAAATTTAATTTACTACATATTCAATTTGATTTTACTGATTCCACAACCTGGAAAAACTTAGAAATTCTATAAATAACTATTCACTATATAAAGTTTCAATATTTCTACATTAATTTCTGATTTCTAAATTATGATTTATGAATAGTTACCAGCACTGATTGAAGGCTATATATTTTTCCCTCCCCCCAAAAGTTACATTTTAACAGCATGTATTAATATGTCTTATAAGAAAACATAATATATACAACCTTAACACTGGAAAAGTTGTAAAGAAAGAAAGTCAACAGAATTTGAGGAAGAAAATAATTATGAAAAAAAAAGGCCATGTGAATTTTCTTTTTCAGAATTGGTATAAAATTCTGAAGGAGAAGCTGCTACTCAACTAGGATAGTGTCCACATTTTCTTGTGTGAGATCTGACTCTAAGGCACAAGGCAAATCTACATGTTCTTGAGACAAGCGAGAACTTTTCAGGGGGACATCAGACCAGTTGTCACAATATGGATGAAATCTCTGGGCCAATGCATTACCAAACCTTTGGCATCGGTTATATCTGTAAGATTTACCTTTGTGTGTATACATGTGCTCCAGCAATTGGCTCTTCCGAAGAAATTTTTGACCACAGATGGTACAGCTGATTTTTCTTTTCCTTGAAAAAGAAAAATTACAGTTTAATTCTACTGGCTCTGTATCTTTAGAGATCAAAGACACTTGACTGATCTGCAAAGGCTCTGTGGTACCCCGGTTTGAGTGGTCAGGCCGCTGTTCATTCTCCTTGACAATGAAGGAGCTGAGCCTGCGATATTCAAGAGCCTCGCTATTTTCATTTAGTGGATGCACTTCACCAAGGTCATTACTTTCCAGAATGGAAGCAGGAACACCAAATGGGAGCGATCCAGACACATGGGTATGGAGATGTTGTCTTAGGTTACTACGAGAATCAAAACGTTCCCCACAATAATGGCATAAGTGTATTTTGATACTGTTTTCGGTAAAAGTGGGGCCTGTCACCTCTGATGAGGGTGAGGGGTGGCTCTGTGAGATCACAGATTCTGGGTCACATCTCTCCTGCTTGATGGACACTGGGGGCTTCTGGTGTTCCTCCAAAGCCTGGGTAGCAGGATGGGCCCTCTGCTGGTCTGCAGTGCCATCATCTAGCCCAATAGCAAGAGAGAGCTGCAACTGGGGGTGGTCACCCTGGGGAGGAACTCTGTTTCCACTGTGACTGGAAGGAGCTTCTTTGACCTCCAGCCCTTGTTTGACAGCTGTTTTTTGGGTCGTTGAGATCTGAATGCCATACAAATTTGAGGACTGCACTGTCTCTGGTGAGAACACTTGATTCATTTTAGTTGCAATGTGAGAAAGGTAGTCAGCGTGAAGAAATCGAATCCCTTCCTCCAAACGACTATGATCCACAATCTGTTTTGGCCCTTTCCCCGTGTACATAATGTGCAACAAATAGCTGAATATGTCGGGTTGGATGTCAGTTGGTTGTATTTTTATGCACTCACTGTTAAAAACAAAAACAGATCCACATGAAATGAAACACAACTTAGTTTGCCTTTTAGTTAACAATAGTCTTAGGCTAAAGTAATTTCTTCCTAAGAAGTTCAAACTTAGCAATCCTTGATGAAACAGCAATGAAAGCTTAAACTTTCATTTTATACCAGTTGTACAGCCCAGCGACAAATCTTCATGTATTTAATCAACTGCCTAAAGTTAGGACACACAGATAGGCTGATTAGTTGAACATTAATCGGTGACTCCTGGGTGATATGCACTATATCAGGTGCCGGCAGGTAGAAAAATGATAAATAAAGTAACTACCCGACTCTACACACAGATAGGCTGATTAGTTGAACATTAATCGGTGACTCCTGGGTGATATGCACTATATTAGGTGCCGGCAGGTAGAAAAATGATAAATAAAGTAACTACCCGACTCTTAAGGAATTTAACAGTCTATTGAATATATAACCAAAAGGACTGAAAAGAGGAACTCAGATACCTGTGTGCCAATGTTCAATGTGGCATTATTCACAATAGCCAAAAGATAGAAACAACCTAAGTGCCTATCAAAAGTTGAATGGATAAAAAAAAATGGCATATACATGCAATGGAATATTATTCAGCCATAGAAAGGAATAAAGTTTTGATATATGCTACAACATGGATGAATCCTGAAAACATTATGCTAAGCAAAATAAGCCAGACACAAATGGACAAATATTGCATGATGCCATTTATATGAAATATCTGCAATAGGCAAATTCATAGAGATAGAAAGTAGATTAGAGATTAATGGGGGCTGAGGAGGTGGGGATGGGGAGTTACTGCTTAATGGGTAGCATTTCTGTTTGAGGAATGAAAAAATTGTGAAAACAGTGGTGATGGTTGCACAACATTGTGAATATAATTACTGCTACTGAATTGTATAATTAAAAATTAAAATGGCAAATTTTATGTTTATACATATAATATCACAATAAAAATATCTGAAATTTTAAAAAAGAGTTTACTGAAATTGGTAATATTTACAATTTAAATTATGTTAACCTTATTTGGCTTCCTAAATATATTAATATATCTATTCTTTAAAACAGAAATTAATATAGGTATAACTTTGAAAAGCTTTAACCTAACCCCAAACCCAATTTTTACATACAAATGTAGAATTCAGGTAATAGACAGAAATAACCATGAAAGAAGAAATCTGAAAAATCCCTGCAAAACCAGGTTAGAGAGCTGGCTGGTTAGCTCACTTAGTTACAGCATGATGCTGATTAACACCAAGGTCAAGAGGGTTAGATCCCCTGGACAGACCAACTGCCTCAAAAAAAAAAAAATTAGGACAGAGACAACCTGAGAGAAGTGCTGGATATCAAGGAACAACGGAATCAGTCAATGGACTTACCTTCCCTGAAGCAGAAGTTTATGTCAATGCATCAGAATGCACTGGGTGTCAGAATGTTGGCAATCCACTTCTTTAGTCCTGATATCTCAGGATTTCCTCTTCCTCTCTTGGATTTCACTCTTGGTTCTGACCCACCCACTTACATGGTCTGTGGTAGGGTTTTGTAAATATCAGCACAGAGTTCTATTAACTGAGAATTTTTAGTTGCTCTATATAGTAGGCCTGCCACCTTTGTATGTCCTGGGTTTAGTTTAGCATTATGCCTGGCACAGAACAAGCATTTCGAAAGCCGAAACAAATCACACTCTCAGAGGAGATTGATCTGAAGCTAAAATTCAATAAATTTTAGCTATTATTGTTTTCATTCTTCTACCATGGACATCACACAGAATTTAGTTACTGATGTACAAAAAATTATTATAATTTTTTTTTCCTTAGGGTGACCCCATTAACAAAGAATCCCCAAAATCTTTTAATACAGCTCCTATGTATATATCATAATACTAAAAATTCCTCTGATTTACAAAAACACATCCTTACCTTGTTTGGTGAATAAATATCATCTTGAAATAGTTAGAAAATGCAGCAAGCACCGCTCTATGGGCTTTGAAGTAAACATCTCCAATAGCAACTGTGCAATCACACAGAAAACCAAATTCTCGCTGCATGTTCAGCTGCTGCAGAAGGACAAGGCTATGGCTACCAGTGTCCATTATGTCTCTGAGAAAAAGGACAACATAAATATATATATGTATGTGTGTATATATGTGCATGTATGTGTGTGTGTGTGTGTGTGTGTATACACACATACTTTTAAAACACAATTGGCTACAGTTCACATAAATTGTCTATGGAGTATCAATGAGATCTAAATTTAAATGAAATTATTCAGCAGTTTTCAATACTGGTAATTTCACCACAAACCTAGGTAACATTAAATCCCCACATTATAACGATTCATATAAACTCTGCTGACTGTAAAATATTGCCCTTTTTAAAGAATGTAGCTGGAGGGGCTGGCACATGGCTCACTTGGGAGAGTGTGGTGCTGATAACACCAAGGCCACGGGTTCGGATCCTATATAGGGATGGCTGGTTCACTCACTGGCTGAGCGTGGTGCTGACAACACCAAGCCAAGGGTTAAGATCCCCTTACTGGTCATCTTTTTAAAAAAATCAAAAAATAAAAAAAAATAAAGAAGGTAGCTGGGTGTGAGTGACACTAGTGAAAGAAAGGTCTCTCCTTTTCTATCTATGTGACCACAATGTTTCTAATCCTCAGTTTCCTCACTGGAAAAATGGAAATGAGATATTGCTCCCTGTCTCAGAGTTAAATGAGATACCTTATGTAAAAATCATATTGTAATGGAAACTGCTATTCAAATGTTAGCTATAAATGTTAATAACATAACAGAGGTATCCTGGCTGGGCCAGAGCTATCACTGCTTCTTAGGGATCCTCTGGTGCTCAGGGGACACCAGCTTCCCAACTATCATAAAATGTTTGGGGGACTTATTAGTCACAGTAAGTTCAGGAGTCCTTAAAATAGATGTCAAGCCACATCTCCTGATTTATATGGGGCCCAGGAGCCTCATAAGAAAGAACCTAAACCCTGAACTCAACTGGATTCAGACACATACAAGCATATAGGTTCTCCAAGGAAACACGAGGTAGGATGGGACAACTGGGGCTCATGGGGAAAATCCTGAATGAGGAAGAATTGCAGAAGAATTCTGGCTGAGAGGCCTACCATGAGCAGCAAGGACATTCAGAAGTGTGGTGGTTCAAGACAGGCGGGAGGCTGTACTTCACCACCTTCTCCACCCTAGCTATACAGAGAGCCCTGGTGCTTTAGGGAGAAGGAGACTGTAGTATAGAGGACATCACTGGGAGGCTAGGAGAATATCCTCTGAAAGAGCAGATCTTGAAAAAGAGAATGAGGTTTCCTCATTAGCCAGAGACCAAGGTCTAGGGAGGTTAGTGGTGGAGTATGGGGTTAGCTGCCTGGAGGTTGGCAGTAGCTTGGGCAACAGATAGCTGAGTGATCGATAACGCAATAAAAATAGCTAACATTTTATAGTGCTTCCTATCTGTCAGGCACTTTTCACTCATTTAATTCTCAATACAACTCTACAGGAAAGGGAATAATACTAAATGCCTCTTACAGATGAAGAAGCTGAATCAACACAGAGAGTTAAGTAATTCACCCAATGTCACACTGCTAGTAAGTGGCAGGGGATTCAAATCCAGGCAACTCAGCTCCAGAACCCAAATTTCCCTCCTCCCCACCTCCCAGAGGGAACACGACCCACACACTGGAGGAGCCTAGGGAACACAAGGATTACACAAAAAGACACCATGGGAAGTATCTGGAAAGAGGAATCAGGGAGAAACTCAAATTTCCTGTTGGTTAAGCAAATGTGACACAGCAAAACAAATATTCCGACCCACACACTGGAGGAGCCTAGGGAACACAAGGATTACACAAAAAGACACCATGGGAAGCCTTAGGAGTATCTGGAAAGAGGAATCAGGGAGAAACTCAAATTTCCTGTTGGTTAAGCAAATGTGACACAGCAAAACAAATATTCATGCTTATTAGCAAGTAAAGTCTAGAATATTACTGGTAAAGATGATAGCAATTCTTACTGATAAAAGATAAAATCTATTTTTATTAAAACTACATATTTAGTGTACTGATATGGAATAATCTCTAAGATACAGTAAATGAAAAAGGCACAGTGTTCATGTAAAAGGAGTGGAGTGGTTATTTTAAAGATGGGAGAGGAGTTTACACATAAACGTATTCTTGTTTATGTATACAACTCTGGAAAGGTTCAAAGAAACCAGTAAAATGTTCGCTTCTGGGAGGGAAACGAAGTAGTAGAGAATCAAGGGTGGGTGGGGAACTATACTGTTTGAACTTAGAAAAACTTTTTATTGACATTTAATATAAATACACATCTATGTGTATTCCTTTTCCCCTCATTTTTAAAAATTATAAAATACTTCACAAAGAAAAGTTCATACAGAAAACAATGTAACAAATAACCACCCACCCAGTACTCAGCTTAGAAAATAAACATTCTGAACATGGTAGAGACCCCCTGGCATCTCTCCCTCATTCTATCCCCTCACCCATCTTACCTCCAAAGGTAACCATCGTCCTGAATTTTGTGTTATGACTCTCTTGTACATTGTCACATTCTTGCTGCATCAGTGTACTCATATATCCCTTAACAAGATAGAGTATCGTTTTGCATGTTTTAAAATTTTATGTAAATAATATTGTACTTTAGGAATCCTGCAACTTGATTCTTTTAACTCGACATTCATGCATTACTTTTCTTTATTTTTTTAGTATCTTGCCAGTCCAGGGATCTGAACCCTTGACCTTGGTATTATTATAACACCATGTTCTAACCAACTGAGCTAACTGGCCAGACTCATACACTATCTTTAAATCCTACTTATTCAAATGTAATAGTTTCCCTGATTCCTTCCCCAATTAAAAAATAAAAACAAAACTCTCTACCCCTTACTATCTCATTTTTAAAAGACTTCAAGCAGCAATAAATTAAGAAATAACAAGATTACAGAATCTACAAACACTTGATTTTATACTCTAAGACTCTGTATTACAGTCTAAGTATTATCCTCTAATAATAGCAAATTGTGGGTATTATTTCAAGAGGCCATTTAGCCAAAAGTCACTATTTATTGTATTTACCACATTTTTCTGATTCTAAAACACCATCAATTTACAGGGAGATAAAAAACCAACGCAAAACAAAACTCTATTTTGAAAATTTCAGTATGTGAAAAACGTGTAACTTAAAATCAATGAAATGATTCAAAGTACCTTAAACTAGCCTTATAAACTGTCTCAAAAAAAAAAAAAAAAAACCCTTTACCTCTTAAACATTTTCACCAGTTCTTCCTATTATGTATTGTGCATTAGTAAAATTAACTATTGAACCATATGGAAATTAGAAATAGCACACTAAAAAGCCACACACAAAAATCTTGTGGTTAATGGTCTATGAGTAGCAGTTAAATTATTCAGTTATTAAATAATATTTTTGAAGAGAAATTTAATAAAGAAAAAATATTTGAAAGCTTACATTGTACAAGGCATGGCGACAGAAAAAAAAATGACACAGATGCTGCATTCAAGAAGATTATAGGCTAATAGAGAAAACAAAACATAAAACAGTAATTACAATATGAAGTAAATGCAGTAAATGCCATAAGAGCAGCTCAGAGAACATGCTTTGAGGGACAGATAAATACAAAGCGACCCAATGGGAAATAAGGTATTTGAACTGAACTTATCTGAACAGGCAAAGAACAGAATGAGTAAAATAACTGGGAGAGGTATGAATATTTAAATAACAGAAGAATTCAGTTTGGCATAGAAAAAACAAGAGTAAGCAGAAGGAAAAAACCAGAGATGGGGGTCAGCTCACAGAGGGTGCTGAGTGTAAAATTAAAAGGCACTCCAGTTTTGTTTGAAATGAACTATGTAAGATGTTTGAGTAAGAACAGTATGATCGGTTGCTTATTCTGTGGGAGGGAAGATAGCACAGTAGTTAAAGTTTGGACTCTAGAGTCAGACAGCTTAAAATTCCAGCTCTACCATTTACTAGCTGTCTTGACAAGACACTTAATTTTCTGGCCTCAGTTTCACTTATGAAATATGGATGACAGTATCTACCTCACAGATTGTTATATGGATTTAATAAGATAATGCATATAATAGGTAAGAGTGCGGCCCATAGTAAATGTTCAATAAATACTAGTCAGCTATCATTACCATCATCAGGCCTGCGAGTCAAGATTGTTTTAGTAGCAACATACAAAAAAGATTAGCAAGGGAAAGACATGAAGAAAGAAAGACTGGCCTAGGAGCCTACGAAAATATCCAAGTAACAGCAATGAGAATGAAGGAAGGAATACCAGAGATACACCAGACCTAGAACTGGCGTGACTTAGACGCAGATTTGATGTGGTCAGCCACAGAGAAGGAGTCAAAGATGAGTCTCAGAATTCCAGTGTGAATAACTGGAAGAATTCATCCATTCCTTCAGATCACATCTGCAGAGTAACTGCCATCTCCTAGTTATTGATAGGAAGGCAGGATCCCAGAATGCCAGCGGCAAGTCATAGAAACTGGCTTGGTAAAACAGGTTTCATTTTGAACACAGTGAGTTCAAGGTGTCTATCCCAGGACATCTGAGTAGGAATGTTTAGTAATGAATGGAAACAATAAGCAAGACTGGGCTCTAAAGAGAGCAGGGTTAGAGAGGAGAGGAAGCCTTTGAAATGACAAGGCTGAAGCCACCACCTGTGGATGGGACTACGAAGCAGAATAAAATAAGAGGGGAAAAAAAAAAAAGCTAAGAGTGAATCCTTAGAAAACAGAAAAGACACAATAAGACAGAAGAAGAGAAATAAGAAAACATATTGCCTTTGAGGGAAGACAAGGGAGATAAAGAAAGGCAAGAACCTTGGAGGAAAGAGGTGGCAATGGTGCAAAATACTGAAGAGAAACAAGGGGATGAGGCCCATTATAAACACCCCACGTGTGGTGACCAAGAGATTCCT